GGGAGAGAAGAGAAAATGAGTGAGTGAGTGAGTGAGTGAGTGAGTGAGTGAGTGAGTGAGTGAGTGAGTGAGTGAGTGAGTGAGTGAGTGAGTGAGTGATGTATAAGATAATGCATAGTAATAAGACAATAACAGTTTATTTGATAGTTTATCCGGTGCCGAAAATATGATGTTTTTTTCCTCATTTGCCTTTTAAATAAATACATTCAATCGCTACCCCATCCTTTCCTTTTCCATAAACCTTTTTATGCAGAAGCCAACCTTCTTCACCTTTCTTTATCCGCCCCAGAATATGACATTCGTTGTGAACTTGGCTAACTTGCACAGGGTAAATGTCCAGTCGTTTTTAAATCCGTTTGTTTGTTTGGTTTTTTTACCATTATCTTTATAATGAATGTTTTCGACTGGTTACATGTTCCTCTTATGGGAGAAAGTGTGCCGCCTTTGAACAGACCTTCAGACCTACATTTCATCAAGCTGAGTTTCAGCTTCATTAGATGAAAATGAAAATGACCTCCAGCTAATGACTTTAGACCTATTATCTTAGGTATTTCTTTCATATTATTTTTCCTTTCCGCTTGTGTATGAAAGGTGGGTCGCTTTTATCGCTGATCTGTGTTATGTAAATCTTATCTTATTGCGACTGTACTAAACGATGGCCTCTCGGGAAAATCAAATCTGGGTTACTTAATTAATATGCAAAGGTTGCAAAATTCGTAGTAAACAGATTTGAATGTTGCCTATTCGTTACGTTTATGCTGTTAAGTCTTAAGAGTTAACTATTGAACTACGAAGAGGTAACAAACTATACATGCATTGGACTTTTTAACTTCCCAAAACAAAAAAACAAAACCCATTATAGCTTGAAGATTATACACATGGCATAGTAAATTCCTTCACATCGCAAATATTTTGCACGATCTAAATGCGAGGACACTTGTAATTGTCGATATGTTACTCCCCCCTACGACACAATCTAGATAATGATATTGAGGAGGCGGGCTGTTTCAACCTGCTAGTCAGAGCCAACCTGAGCTAAGAGGAATACCACGTCTAAGCAGACAGAGGGAGATTTTCGATTATTTACACAAAAAACAATAACAACCCCACTCGTGAATTGAACACATCATCTGCGTGTAACGATTTCTTTGACCTTTTCATTACTTTCTTTTCATTAGGGTGGGTCATGGATCAGTAATGGTACCTTTGGGTCGAAGTTCATTCGAAACTTCTTCCGACGTCACTTTTTCCAACATGGCGGCTTCCGAATGGCGCGAAGTCTTCCAGATGACGACAGACACACAGTGGAAATACCTGCCTCATTTGTGGACACGGAGGCGTATGTTGTAGGCACGGGGGTCGAAGGTGAGGAGAAGGGTGCGGTTATCTGTTTATGACCTTGCGTCAACATTTTCAATTTGTTGTTTGATAAGAGGGGTTTCGGATAAGAGCATATTTCTGTTTTTATTTTAAAGATTATTCATTAATTCATTTCTTTATTTCTTTGTTTATTTGTTTGCTTTTTATGTACCTACTTGTTTGGTGTTCTGGTTAGGGAGAGAGAGAGGGAGAGAGAGAGGGGGGGGGAGAAAGAGACAGACAGACAGACAGACAGACAGACAGACAGACAGACAGACA